TGAAATTAGTTGAAACAGAGCCGAGTTGTATTAGAAAACAGCAATCCGCACAGCCCGACAGCCCGGCGAATCTGGGATGAATTAGTGCTGCCTCAACCTCCTCGTCTTTCATTGGGTCACTGGAGTTTAAATTAAGTGGATGAGAAACCCATGGGGAGGGCTCTGCATAAATGAGAGTAAAGTTGAATTTTAAACGCGTTAAAACTGTCACAAAGTGGCGTTAAAAGCGGCGTTTTATGTCACAGAACGGCGTAAAAAGCGGCGTTCAATGTCCGTACCAAACGCCGTATTTTACGCCACCCACACAGAGAACGCGTCTGGGATTAGGGTGACGTAAAAAACGGCGTTCAATGTCCGGAAAAAACGTCGTATTTTACGGGCGTTCTACGGGACCGTTCAGAACGGCGTAAATTACGGCGTTCTGGCAGAGTTTTCGCCGTATTTTACGACGTCTTGGCACATCAAACGGCGTTTTTTTTTGCCATTTCTTAACTAGACGGGTTGGGAAAGTGGCGTATTGTGGCGGTTTTGGCTTGGCATACACAGAGAGGCTGCCGAGCGCGCACAGAGGCTGCCGCGCGCGCACGTTTTCCTCTGCCGTGTGCTCGTTGACAACGCGCGCACGCAGGTTTGTCACTTGTGCACATCCTTGTGCGCTCACAGACACAGTTTGCTCCCTCTCAGTGCACAAATGACCTCTCGCCATGTATATTTTCGCTCGCGAGTCCCGTTCACACGCGCGCGAGTCCCGTTCACACGCGCGCTGCCATGTATATTTGCGCTCGCGAGTCCCGTTCACACGCGCGCTGTGGACCCAATGCGCGTGCACGGGTTGTGGCACGCTTTAAACGCCATAGACATGGCCCGCCCAGGACAGATTACAACACCTCATGAAAGTGTATTGGCTCAAGACGATCAACAGAGGGCGCTCTAGGTTACTAATCGACAGTTTTAGCTGCAGTAGAAGAAGACGCTTTGGTACAGTAGCTTGCTAAAATGGATATCAGAGCTTGGATTAGCAAACAGAAAAACAATGCTAGCACAAGCAGGGATGATGCATCATCAAAAAGTTAAGTGCAGCCAGAAGTTGCAGCTACAAGCGCTTCTGTTCCTCCTCTCTCCGTGCCTCCAGCCCAGTCTCAGTGGTGTCTGCTGTCTTTTTGATTCAAATTGATTTAAAACGCCCATTGAAATAGAGTTTTTCTCAGTAGCCTAGTGGTAGATTGTTCGTCCTTATATTGGGGGATCAGGGGTTCGACTCCTGGTCCGGTCACATCATAGATTTTGAAAAAATGGGACCCAATGCCTCCCTGCTTCACACTCAGCACTAGGGGTTGGATTGGGGGATTAAACCACCAAATAGTTCTCGAGCGCGGCTTGTCTGCAGCTCACCGCTCCCATGGGTCAAATGCGAAGAAAAAATTTTGCACACACACACCAGTGTGTGACAACTGATGGGGCTTTAACTTTAAACTGTTTTTGAACCATCTTAAATACAGGGTTGTATGTTCTCTTTTTAGAAAGAAAACACTAGATTTTCTAAATCTTGTTTAGAAGACCTAGTTTACACTTCTTACCAGCTGGTAGCAGTAACACACCAAGTCAGTGTTTACCAAGAAGAAGAAGAAGCACGCAGCCAAGAAGTAGCATGCTAACCTGATGCTAACTAGTATTCGTGATGTAAACATTATGAGGAATACGTGCAAAAAGAAGAATTTACTAAGGTATCAAGCTGCAGGGCAGGATTTGGAAGAAGACTTGTGGACTAAGTACTTTATTGGAGAGCATTAACTGGACGTAAGGATTGTTTTGAGATGGTGACTCTGTGGTGCGCAGGCGCAGCTAAGAACGGTGAGTTGCAAGTATTTTTCTAAGAGGTTCAGTAAAATTGGTTACTTTGTCTTAAGTTTTGATTGCATCTTTAATTGGCATACATAATCGGAATTAAACAATGAAGAATCTTAGCTTTTCAGTTATTTATGTAGAACAAGTTGGTGACGCAAATGGCCGATTTGACCTGGAAGTATATGTATGTAACGTCCACCAGACAGATTATAAACATGAAAAGGGGTTGATAAAAACACGGTTTACTGCCCCCCCCCCCCCCCCCCCCCCCCCCCCCAGAAAAACCCACTGCCCCTCCAGGTGAAGTCCTCTGGCGCCGGGTCTGGTTGACGGGATCAGCGGAGACCATCAGGAGCGGCTTTTGTCACTCGCTCCTCTATACTGAATACCAGCGGAGGGCGTACACCCGCTGTGGGGTTGGGTATTCTAACGAGGGGCTGCGGGCCCTACCGGCAGTTGTCGTTGGCCCGGGAGCTCATAAGGATGGCTGAGGCACAGGCTAATAGACTCGTGTGCAGGCGAGCTGCATGCTCGCTCATTTCCTGACGGCCTGCCTACTCAGTCGTGGCTGTGTTTTAGTGTGTGTATGTGTATGTGTGTGTGTGTGGATTGGATTTTCACCGTGCTTTCTGTTTTCTTTTCATTTAGGCTGTGAGCTGACAGTGGTGGTCGAGCCCTGGTGGTGGTTCCCTCTGATGGTGTGCGTGTGCTCCAGAGTCACTTCACCCCCCGAATGCATGCACGTGTGATTGGGGGGAAATTACTTGTGGTTGGTATTTAGTTCTAGGCTCTCTTAGGCAGTCCCATTAGTCAGCCTCAGCCTAAGTTGATTTGGTTTTAATTAGTTTTTATCTGAAGGTGCATGGTGTTTCTAGTAGATCAGGGGTGTCAAACTCGTTTTAGCTCAGGGGCCACATTGAGGGAAATCTAGTCCCAAGTGGGCCGGACCGGTAAATTAAAAACAACTTCAGATTTTTTTTCTTTGTTTTAATACAATCAATACAAAACAAGGCTGGAGCCTGAGGACAGTGTATCCAAAATAGTACAAGTACAACACCTGAAGTGTACTTGAAAATTTGAAAAAAAATAAAAATAAATAAATAAATAAAATCAATAAATAAAAAATACATTCCTTAGTGATTCAAAGAGCTTACAGATCACATGGCTAGATCAGTTTCATGCAGCACTTAAAGTATAATTGACTCATTTTACTTTACATCTTTTAGCTTTCACCAGCACATCAATATCAGAAGTCACATCCTGAGTGGCGGCCAACTTCAGGATGTGATTCAAGTTCTTGTGTGAGCCTTGAGCGCAGCTTTGTCTTAGTTATACTCATTACAGAGAAAACTTGCTCACAAAGATAAGTTTATTTTCACTCTACATTGTAAAGTATGAAAATAAAATTTTCACAACCATCTCGCGGGCCGGATTTAACCCGCTTGCGGGCCGGATCTGGCCCGCGGGCCGTACATTTGACACCCCTGTAGTAGATTATTTTAAACTCATTTTATTGTTCTTTTAATAAAATCCCTGTTTATGTGGAATGGAACTCCATCTCAAGCTTGATTTATAAAAATGAACTAATGTGCCTTAGGTCCAGTGGTTTTGGTTCCTGATAATCAGGTGGCGTTGTATTTCTAAATTGATAAGTGGCCCCGCTCGCCACATGAGATTCTGAGAAAAAGCTCACGTGTGGCACAGGAGGAGGTTAGGACCCAAGGGGCAGAACAACAGAACGACTCAAGGCAGAAGAGGTTTAAGAAAATAAAGTTATTTGATTAAAGGAGGCTGGGCAAAAATCCAAAGGCAAAAACGCTGACAAAGAGACAAAACAGAAGCTCACTCATGTGCAAGAACAGGAGAATACTCGAGACAGCCAAAACAACACTGACAAAGGTAATAGACCGACAAACACTGAGAGACACAGACAGGGTTATATACACAGGGCTGGGTGATAGGAGACGAGGAGCAGGTGTGTGGGGAATTGGCCACAAGTGAAACAAATGAACTGAGGGAAGAAGCAGAAATAAGCAGGAGAGAAAACCATATCTAAATCCTAAACCAAAGCTACTAAAATAACCTGACTTTAAACACTGTAGAACAAAGACTAAAGATAAATAAACTAGATAAATTGCATTTATTGCAGAAATGCTGTTTGAATGCTGGATAGCTTAAACTGTTAGCTGAATCAGCTTAATAGCTGAACTGATGTATGTGCATGTGTGAGCATGAGGGAGGGAGTGTATGACTGTATATGTCAGGTGGGGCCTTTGACTCCTCCCCTCTCCTGGGACTTCTTTTGATGATATAGATCTTCGTCTCCCCTCCCCCTGCCACACCTGGTGTGGAGTGTGGTGCCTTGGTCTGCCTGAGTGTTCGTGGCTCCCGGGTCTGGGGGTTTAAGATTTTTGGCATCTGCCTGATCAATCCCAGTGGCTGCCTGGTGGGGTCTGGGTCCCTGGGCTCTGCTGGGTCCCTGGTGGGGGTGGTCGCCCCTGGGTTCCGGGTCGCTGGGTCCCGGGCTCGGCCGGCTAGGGGGTGGGAGGCTGCAGGCGGGCCTGTGGGCTTGCCGCTGATATCTCCCGGGACTCTGCCAGCTGCTGGTTGTGGCCCCCTGGGGCGATCCTCTGTGCCTCTCGAGGGGGGCGGGGGCCTTTCTGGTTGCAGTCTCCTTGGGGTTCCTGTGTTCTGGGGTAGCGCCTGGATCTCTGGGACTTGGAGCTCACTCCGTCTCCTACACATCTTTGGGGGGCAGATCTGTGGTCCCTCACACTCTCTATTGGATGCTTTTATAGAGAAACCTTACATAAACAAGCGCGTGTACACACACAGGTGCTCACATGGTGCTCTCAAAAGTATGGGCTTGAGCACGTTCAACACATGTCTTAAGGCTGTCGTTGCCACTAAATGCACTATGATTTATTACCGTGTGATTGTTCAGTTAAACAATGTTGATTTTATAATCCATCATCAGGCTGGCGCAGTGATAGCTTGCTCCTGATGTATTGTTGTTGTGTCCCATTTTTTTCTGCTCTTTCTCTTTCTGCAGGTCTAGAAGCAGACTCTTGTTCATTATTGTTTATTTTTGTGGAACCCCCCCCCCCCCCCCCCCCCCCCCCCCCACCCCTTCCCCCTCTCTTCCCACCTTTTGTCTTTTCCTTTCACCTCTGTCTCCGTGTCTGGTCGGAATTAGAAAGTATTCAAAAACAATAACAATAAAGTGTTAAGTATCAGGCGTGACATTAAAAGCAGACGCTTTGATGCTCCACCTGAGAGTAAATCTGTAAGGCTTGTTACCAGCATTCAGACATCAGTTCTGTTTGCTCCACAGCCAGATGGGACACGGTTAAATAAATAAATAAATAAATAAAACAGCTGAACTGAAGCTGAAACTAAGCAAAAGTAGTGAAAGTAGTGGTGGGCATAGATTAATTTTTTTAATCTAGATTAATCTCACTGTAATCTTGGAATTAATCTAGATTAAAATGGCTCATTCAAATTCTGCCAAAGGCATATGTGTGTGCTACCTAGATAATGAATAAAAACAAGTCTTTGAGAATGGAGGCATATTTCTTGTTTCAATAATGCATCACAGACTGATAAAGCAGTTTTACTACAATAACTGATTATGAAAATAAATAATGATCAATAAGTATTTGTGTTTAATAGCTGTTTATTCAGTTCAACAATCTGCACTGTAGGTCTACAGAATAGATCATGATTAACTATTTACAGTCAGTAGCATTTGGTCAATCAGTCCAAGCTCTATTTCTCCTTCTTCCACCAGTCACTCAAGCAGACCAGCTTGTTCACTGTGTCTGGTGACAAACTAGATCTTCTCTTCTGCACAATATGGCCTGCTAAAGAAAAAAGTCTCTCACATGGGACAGTTGTGGCAGGAGTCCCCAAATATTTACGGGCAATGTGGGCCATCTTACCATACACAGCAGTGTGTTCCAACCACCACTTCAGTGGACACTGATCTAAATTGGCACTGGGCTCTACCTTGTACCTCTCCACAGTGTTGTCTACTGGTGTCTCCTCATCTGAATCTGATCCCATTAGTAGAAGGGCTCTTTTCTTCTTGGGTGGCTCAGGGTTCTCCTCCCTGAGTGGCTTCAGAGTAGGTTCTTGTCCCTTCACCAACTCACGTAGCTTTACCCACACCGGCTCCCTCTCTGCTCTGGGCAAGCACTTGAGGTCCTTAAATCGTGGATCTAAGGCAGTCGCCACCTTTAAAAAAATAAACTATAATAATTATTATTGATGAAAATTTCACTTTCCAAATCTAACCTCCATATTTGTTCATGACTCCTTCATCTATTCATTTGACCAACCTACTAGATGGCTTTCATTTCCACTGCGCAGACCGCAAGAGTGATCTGTCTGGCAAAACCAAAAGGTGTAGGTGTCTGTTATACTAACAACAGTTGGTTTGGTGTTCTGATGTGACCGTAATCTCCCAGCACTGTTCTCCTGATTCAGAATGCCTACTCTTCAACTGTAACCCTTTGTACTCTCCCCGTGATTTCTCCTCATTTATTCTGGCCACGTCTACATCCTGCCGAGCGCAGACGTGCACGCAGCCCAGTGTGCACTTGTGGATAAAATTTTGTGCGTGGAGCAAAAATATTGTGATTCCAGCATTGTTCTAACACTCACCAGACTGTATTTCAATAACGACAAACCATGGCCAAACTCAGTCAGCTCAAGATGGAGAAGGAGATTGCATTTAAAACAAAGACACAGAGAGCTACAAAAGAGGTGAAATACAGGTTCAGCAGGGAGGTGAAAAATGCTAAATCAAGGTACTCTGAGAGGCTGAAAGAACATTCTCGGCTAACGACTCGACTTTTGTGTGGAAAGGGCGCTTAGGCAAATCACTGCCAAGCCAAATAACCCACTCAACCTAGGACCTATAGTCAACAGGCTAAACAAGTTCTAATCAGTGACTGTAGAAAGAGAGTTTGGCTGCCGCTATGATGGCCCAACAGCCAACCAGGACATCACCCATCAGCTACATCTCCATTTCAACAAGGTCACCTACACCTCCATGGCCCCAGAAGTCTCCTCACAAAAGGCATTTCTCCCCTCCTCCAACACGCCCCTAACCATCCTGGAAGAGGATGTTATTAGGCTATTCAAGACCCCCGCAAGGCGTGTCTCCATCCACTGAAAGAAACTGCAGCTGTGCCCAGTCTTTACAGAGACTGCATATATGCATTGGTAGCTTCTGCTTGTTAAACAACAACAACAGAACACAAGCAACAACATAAAGCTATGGTTTATGGGCTTCACCCTCCCTTACTCCAGCCAAAATTGACAAAGCTATTCAGATGAGAAGTGAAACATCTTCAAAAAACCAAAGAAGTTCACATACCTTCATTTGAACCCCTTTAGATCATAATGGTCAAATAATGCATTTATCTTCTGTGTCTGATACACCTTAAGCCATTCCAGGTTTATGTTCTCCCATCGCTGGTTGAGGTCCTTGGTGAAGGCAGCCTTGAATCGCACACTATAGGCAGGATCATCATCTGAGATCTTCATTGCGTGCTGGAGGTGGCACAGGGCAGGAAGAACCACAGAGCAGGATATGTAGTTTTCCCCACCAAGCAGCTCAGTGATGTACCTACACACACACACACACACACACACACACACACACACACAGAGAGAGAGAGAGAGAGAGAGAGAGAGAGAGAGAGAGAGAGAGAGAGCGTAATAAATAATTAATGATCAATTCATTTGACTCCGATTACACATTTTTTAAATTCTTAATCACATTACATTTAAAGGCAGGTGGTTCTTAGATACAAAAGTGACATTTCAAAGAACTTGTATGCCAATTCATGAACATGTTATCTTTGTAGACCATACCTGCATGGCTCCAGCATTTTCTCCAGCTTTGCCAGCTTCTCATATTCAGCATTTGTTGGGAGGGCAAGATTGTGCTTCTGCTGAGACAGCGTTGTGTGCAGAGCGTCTCTGTTTCGCCTCACGCGTTTGACCATCTCAAGGGTGGAATTCCACCGTGTTGGAACATCTTGCACAAGTTGTTCCTGTTCTTGTCCAAGGGAGGCTTGCTGGGCATTCAGCTCGTCTGAGTTTGCTGGACTGTGTTTGAAATGTCCGACCACTTTACGGCACTTGACCAGAAAGCCATCAAAACCACTTTCCCGAAGTGACACTACTATAGCTCTCTGAATAACATGTGCAACGCAGGGCAAATGCTGGAATGGCAGTATCCTCCCTGCTGCCACCATATTACGAGCGCTGTCTGTTCCAATAGTGCTGGTTTTGTCAGCTATTCCCCACTGATTAGCAACGTCAAGAAACTGCCTGGCACATGCGTCTGCAAATTGGCGCTCCTCTGTTTTCATCGCACCTAACGGTCAAACAAAGATCAGAATAAGTTCACAAGCAGTAAACAACTAGCAATCATTAAGAAGCAAACATAATGTGGTGGTAATTCATGGTGTTGTGCTAATTAATAAGTAGGCTAATCAAATTAAATTATACAACAGTTAGTTCTAACCAAGTAATTTGATTGGACAAGAGACATTCCACTGGGACATTTTACAGACAATATCAGGCGTTCTAATGTTATGTTGTGTTATTTTTGTGTTGCCTGGCAACAGCTTTCTAGTTGGAACCATTTGTGTTGGCGGAGCTAAATAAATGATTGAATAAACTAACAAATTATAATCTTATGTCCCTTATTATTGTTAAATAAGAAAATTTGCTCTTAGAACTGTCGTATAAAAACAATATCACATGAGAGGGAGTGCTGTTGTGCTAAATATCAGCACTGGTGTGATTATTTACGTATTAATGATATGAATCACACAAATGCATATATTCAACACAACAGCACTCCTCTCGCGTGTTAACATCTCGGTTAATTATGAAATTTAAAAGGACACAGCCTACCTAAAGCAAAGGAGTGAAGTTCCCAGCTGGCATCGATGAGGTGTGCAGTAACACCGAGGTAGTTATCATTACTGACAGAGGTCCAGTGGTCCCCAGTCAGTGCTGCACAAGTTGCCTCCACCAACTTCTCATCTTTCGCGGCTTTCTCTGTTGCATGCTGGTCATGTATTTTCCTCACGATTGTTCACCTCGCAGGTAGTTTGTAGGATGAGTCACCCGTGGCCGCCTGGAGAACAAGCTCGAGCCCATCATCTTCGACCAGGCTGATGGGCCGGCAGCTCGTGGCAATCCACTGAGCAAGGAGATTAGTGAGCTTACTTGATAGAGCTGCACTGATGGGCTTGCCTCGGTTGCACTCAAACATAGTAGTTTGACGAAAACTCTTTCCCCCGCGCAACACGTGATCCAGCATCTTCCAAATTAGCTAAGGGATGCTTAGCGTTTAGGTGGTACTTGAGACTGGAAGAACTTCTACAGTAAACAAATTCCGCATTGCACAAGGTGCAAACAACTTTAGTCTTGTCAAGGTTTCCATTGGGAAGCTTCTTAAAAATAAATTTTCCCTGGAGCAAACCCAACGGCTTCATAGGTGCATCCATGTTGGCGCGTCACGTTTGAAGATTCCTCCGGCATTAAAGATGTTCTCTTTCGTGCGTATACATCCACACTTATATGTCGATGATCCGCGCCGAGTATACATCCGTGCAATGTGAAAGTCATCAAGCTTAGTATAGACGACCCAGATCCCAACCCAACTTTGAGAATAGATTAACGGCGTCATTTTTTTAATCGCGCGATAAGAGTCTGGCTTTGCCGCAGCGCGTTAACGCCGATAACGGCCACCCCTAATTGAAAGATGTAGAAGCAACAAGCACCAACCAAGTAAAGCATAAAAAGTAAGTGAATAATAGAGAAAAATAATCCTAAACAGCAGAAAACTGAAATCTGTGAACATTGTATAAAAATCTGGACAGCTAAAATGCCTAAACACATGTTATTTCAGTAGGACAAGTTTAACAGTTTTATATTTACGTTTAGCTGAACTGTGAAATTAGCAGCATATGCTAAATTTGGAAACCGATTGCTGAAGCTGCTGAATAGCTGAAGTGAAGCTGAAACTAAGCTAAACTGTCAAAATGAGCTGAATGTATTTAAAGGCACAGTCTGTAACATTTAAATGTAGAATAACTTTAAAAATGTTTTATTTTGACCATCTGACCCAATTTTATTAAAAAAAGTAAATAATCTTTAATATTTCAATTTTCTCCTAAGTCCCTCCCCTGCCCTGTAGAGCTCAGCCAATATTTCTGCAAGCCTAACGCGTTGACCAATAGCGCTGCGTTACCACCAGGGGGCAGCTGTCAATCATCGAGCACGAGCAGGTCTCAGCGTGCACAACAGTGTCACGCGCCTCACTCGGCTTACTGCAGAAACATGGAGCAACAAAACTCCAAATTACCGATTCCTCGACTGCCTTCCACATCTCAAAAAACATTTAAAAAGTTTAAAAGCCCTTCTTCAAAAGTGGCTGTAAGATGTTTAAGACAGTTGAGTAGAATTTACATCGGAGATGGTTTTACACACGATGGAGAGATTTTCGTGATCTACACGGCCTGAAAACGGATGAAGAGTTGGCAAAGTATCTTTTAGACAGGTAAGTTATTTAGTGTTTTTCGGATAAATTTACTTATAATCTTTCTTTCACTGAAAGAAGTAATAGAGCAAACAAGCTTTGTATGCTTGGTGTCCTATTGGCTAATGTAGCATTAGCTTGAATGCTAAGTCGACATGAATCGATGCTAGTCGAACTATTTATGCTATATTTGGAAGAAGTTTGAGTAACGAAAAGGGATTTTAGTTTTTTTTTTTATATGGGAGCTAATGATCAGTGTTGGGTTTAACTATAGGCCACATCAGTATATTGTTTTAAGCTCTTGTTTATAACTTCCCCGTTAGCGGGGTTCAGTTAGCATCTAGAACGCTGAATTAGATGTTTACACTTTCCTGAGCTGCGTGTTTGATTAAAATGAGTAATCAGCAGCTCATGTAGCACTTGTAGAAGTCTGAGGAGATGATTCAGCAGTTAGAATTAGGTGTGATTGATGAGGAACGTATCCAAAACCTTACGTTTCCTTTAGCACTGAAAGACATATTGTGCTAACCTGGGTGGGCCACGTGTAGGGTTGCCAACCGTCCCTTGAAAAACGGAATCGTCCCGTATTTAGAAACAAAAGTGCACGTCCCGTATTAAACTCAAAAGGGACGCACTTTGTCCCGTAATATAGTATGGATCAAAATTAGTCTGTAGTCTATTACCAGAATTAACGCTTTGTTTGAAAGCCAGCCCTTCGCCTGCTCTGTGACCAATGAGCTGACCGCATGCTTACACACGAATATGACGATACAGATTACCGCTTATTTCATTGGTCGAGGAACGGTCGCTTGGGGAGAAGATACCGGAAGAAAACAGTCGACAGCAAACAGCATGGCCAACAGGGAAACAAACGCCGACACTGCTGTACAAGTCTCGGACGACAGTACCCCTCCGAGAAAGAAGAAAAAAAGGCTTCAAAAATACAGGGAGGAATGGGAAAAGGAAAATTCCTGGCTGGAAAAACTGCGCGATAACACCTATAAAGCGCACTGCACCGTGTACCGGCGCAGTTTTTCCATAGGGCATGGTGGACTGACTGACCTCAAGCAACATGCTTCTAGTAGTAGCCACATGAAAAACATAAAGGACGTGAAAGCACGGGGAACCCTCGATCCGTTTGTCGTCCACAAGGCCACGGCAGAAGCAGATATGGTAAGTAAACATTGCTTTTTTAAACCCTCTGGTTAAAGTGAAGGTATTTATCTGAAGAAGAAAAAAACCACTGTGTTGGGGCTTGTTTACTATTATTTTTATTATTTTTGTTGTCTTGTTTTGTCATTAGTTTTTCTATTTTTTTTTCAACTTGGGTGTTTAGTTTCGATGTAGCCTTGTCTTGGTTTATATGTTGTTTGGATAATTTTAAACTAAAAGGATGGATAAATACATGATAAATAAAGTGAACTATTGTATTGTATAAACGCTATACAATGCAATAAATATACAATAAATGTTTTCCATTTATTTACCACTGTAAGTGTTCTATGTGGTGCTTATAACCCAGGTTTACTTCTTATCTCCATTGGCAGGTTAAACATCTCTATGGATGAGCTTTATGACGAGTGTGTCACTGCAACCAGCCTTCTGGAGCACCTCACCAAAGGACCTCAGGAGAAGGAAAAGTGGCAGTCCAAGGGAACAGCAGAGAAGTGTATAGAAATTCTTCAGGCAGCTGACCTCTCCAACATCCAGCCTGTTGTATCCTTTGTACTCAGCATCCCATCTTCCACTGGGTTTGCAGAGAGGATTTTCTCTCTCATGAAGAATAAGTGGACTGATGTGCGGAACAAATGTTCTACTGAAATAACTAGATGTGAGCTCATTGTCACTCTAAATTGTGACATGTCTTGCTCAGAGTTTTACTCTGCAGTACTGAAAGACAACTCCTAAATGCAGCAAGATCTCAAAAGAAATACAAATGGAAAAAATAGTCTGTTTTCACATAATGTAGCATTGAGCTTTTGAGTTAATGAGTTTGGACTTTTTTTTTTACTTCAACCGTAGGCTACAGTCAAGGCCTTTGAGGCACAAATATGTTTACAGCTTCTCCACAGACTTTCTGTTTGCACTTTTCTAATTGCACTCAATGTGCAGTTACAGCGTTGCTCTTTCTGTTGTTTTCTATTAATTTATACAATTTTAAGTTAAGCAGAACAGAGTTGTTTTAAAGAGAGCTATTTATATTCTAAAAAGTAAAGCATAACAGGCTACCGTTTAAGAGACCTGCTTTATTTATTTATTTTTTGTCATTTTGCACAAAAAGTTGAGCATAACAGTTTTCTGTTTAAGAAAACTACCGTTGTTATAATAATTTTGTAATTTCACGCCATAAATAAATGGCTAAATGATCATTTGTTTCCCATGTTTTCATATCACAAAGAATATGCATCTTCTTAAACCAACTTCAAGTCAAATAGTAAAAAAAAAATCCTTTCACACACACAAAAAAAGAGCAAAAAAAATCACCACGCTGGGAAGGGTGGCCTGGAGCGGCCGGCCCTGCCCGCGAGGTGTCCCTTATTTATTTTTCAGGGAGTTGGCAACCCTAGCCACGTGTACAGATTACTGTCTGAGTTTGTGGTCTTACCTGCGAGAAAACTCCATATTAAAATGAAAGGAATGATAATCAGCTCTTGCAGAAATCTGTGAAGGCTGGGGAGACTTGTTTTATTACAGTGGAACAAAGATATCTGTAACCATTTTTGGTTTTGCTGCAAGTCGGCGAACACTTATGAGTTTTTTGTAAGTACATTATTTGTGTTTTCATCTAAAAGAAGTGAATGTAACTAATCGCCACATATGTCTTTTAGGACATGTGGATCGGTCTACTCCATCATGTGACTGGAGAACATGAGTGGTCTCTGGATGCTTGTCAGCATGATCCTTTTGTGACAGAGAGAAAGACTGGATTCAGAAAGGCTCCACTCCACACAAAGCCCTCAGTGACATCATTCTCAGTGAACGCTGGCTGAAAGAAGTCCCAAAATATTTGAAATTCAGGTACTGTATTTAATTATAGCTATAAATAATAATATAATTGTTCTAAATGTTAAATTCTTGTTTTAGATCTACAGCAAATTTGGAGGCGTTTCACAACCATCTCCTAATGTATGCAAGCAAAAGATTCAGTTACATCCCACCTGTTTACGAGGCACGGATACTGCTTGCTGCACTGGACTACAATCACCACTCACATCGAGAAGTGAAGAGGAGAGCAGATGGATCGACACAGTATGTATTTATTTATTTATAGTTTTAATAAAACATACACTCATGAATTCATAATTCACTGGTCCAGTTTTAGTCATTTTTTATTAACAACTTCCTCAGATGAACAACCACAACGCTCCTAACTGCTACATATTGGTTTAACAACATGCTGTCAAGTGGCCAACCGTAGAATAACAGAAACACCACATTTTCAATAATAGTGCCTCCAGGTGGGGCTTACCTAAATTACTTTTAATTTAAAACACTTTTTCAGCTAATTTGTTGTATACTACAAGTTAGAGCCCTGCACGGGCCTAAAATCTGAGCCCATGTCCGGCCCGGCCCGAGGGGGTGGAGCCCCAGCCCGACCCGGTCCGAAAAGGTTTTCAGGATTCTCTGGCCCGACCCGAGCCCGACGTTTTTTTTAACCAACTAAATGAAAACAAAGTGCGTCAATCCTGACCAATGTGTTAAAAGATGTGCAGGATCCGATCAATTTGTTTTTCCCTCGTTTACCGTCACGGAGATAACGGCGCACTGGCTCTGGTGTTAATCAAGTTAAATTTTATCTCTTTCCAACAATTTTCACAAGAAAACAGAACAGTTAAAAGCAGGGCTTGTGTTTACCGGATAGTTCCCGTATTTGACCGTTTATTTTGACGGAGAAAGAATAGAAAGAATTACCCCGACGCATGCAGACGAACTGACATTTTATTCTACGCACATCGCAGATGTAGCTAAATCACTCAAGAAAAGATTCCCATCTGAACATCTGAGCTGGACACTGCTCAGCGCAGCTCACGGTCAGCACGTACTACATAAGGTCCACAGCGAGCTGAAGATGTGGAGAGGGGCTTGGAGCGCGTTGCAGAACCAGAGCGTCACCGCATGCGGGAAGCTTCCTCCCACTGAAGCGAGTGTTTTCCAAACCCGGTCTCTCAGAGAGACTTGTCACTTAGAAAATGTTCCCTGATGATGAAACTTTGGCTGAATAGCGCTTGTTCCTGTCTCCAATGTGGCGACACATCCAGGAGCCGTCTGAGGAGAATCCCAGAATCTCACATCCTCTTCAGCTCAGGAAGCGCCGATATGATTTCACACAAGCGTGACGGTCTCACAGTAAGACCGGGTTGGGCCTGTTCAGGTTTACGCAGACAATCTTTACATAGAATTGACTTACAGATATAAAATTAATTCAGTAAAATATAAAGCATTTTATTTAAATATCCATTCATTATTTTACAAGCACAAAGAGCTGCATCAGATTCAGATCAGCGGGAAGATTCCTCTGAATGAATTCAGTGGGAGGAATCTTCCCGCATGCGCTCTGGTTCTGCGACGCGCTCCAAGCCCCTCTCCACATCTTCAGCTCGCTGTGGACCTTATGTAGTACACGCTGACAGTGAGCTGCGCTGAG